ACACACACACACACACACACACACACACACACACACACACACACAATAGGTTAAGACTCTTAATATCTCCATGACTTGCATGTTCAATTAAAATGCTGCTGGATCATGAACCTTCAGTGTGGACTGACTCATGATCTGCTGCTCTCTGAATAGTGTTTTTACTTTACCAAGGCTCTCTGTTAATAAATAATAAAGTGCTATGTGTTTTCATCATTGTATGTTCCCATACAAAGACGAAATTGCCTTTCTGCATTTCACCCATTGCATCTGGGATACACCCAGGTAGAGCAGTGGGCAGCTATGTAAGCGCCCGGGGAGCAATTCGGGATTAGGTGTCTTGCTCAGAGACACCACAATATGTGGGAATGGCTGGGGATCGAACTTGGGACTTTCGGGTCCTGAGTCGGCTGCCCATCAGACTCAACAGCACATTCATACCAAAATCCTACCACATAAGCGCATGGATTTCGCAGGAGCTGGTTGCCAAATTATCATGCCACATTAACAGAAAGCAAATTGTGTGACAGTGTTATAGCCCAGGTATGAAGCCAGTGTGGGCAGTTCTGTGGTCTTTTTTGAATTGAATGCTGAGTCTGGTTTTTACAGGGTATTGGAAAGTTCTGTATGTGAAAAATAGACAAACATGAGCCTTTCTATTTTAGCTAATGATGGAGTCATGAATGTGCTGAGTATGCTCAAAATGTCTGTTGCAAGGTCCAGGTGAACTGTTCACACTACGACATTTTTTTATGCTTTAGCACGGTCTTTAGTCAGTGTATTATGAAATTCTTTATCAAAAGGGCTCGTGAACGGTCGGCACAGATATTCAGACAAATAGGGAAAAATAAAACACAGAAGCTGTTACTGCTAGGAGTAATAAGTGTCCTTTATTAACCTGCCACAGAAAACAGCCAAGCAAAAAAAACATGTACACTCTTAACACACAGATTGATATGAAATAACTTCTCACCGTGACACTGGCCGGGAAGTCGTTTTCGACCCAGGTAAAGAAGAATCACATCAAAATGGCGTATGGCACCAGCGCGCGGCTGATCCACACAGGACTCCCAAAGATTAAGTTGCCTGTCACACTTCCTTTATACCTTCTTCCCTGACCGGATCGCGTGAGAGCAGATCAAAGCAAGTTTTGATGGTTGCCAGGAGGACAGATTTAATTAAATCTGTTTTCCCTTCATCAAAGCAGTCTGTGCAACAGAGCGATGGTTTCATAAAAAACATGTCCTTCAAAACCTGGGTCACTGTAACCTGAAGATTGGGCCCGATCTTCTGGCTAGAGCATCCCCAGAGAACTTTAATTACTCCAAAACACATCTGCAGCACAGGAATGACTGAATAAGCAGATAAGCTGCATCAAAAGTGAGTATAAGTGTGTTTAAATAAGTGTAATATAGGTATAGATTGACATAAAAGCATTAAAATAATCATTTCTATATCAGTCAGTTTGAAGGGGATCTAAAATATAAAGTTCAAACTATATTTACAGCTCACCCTGTGTTTGTTCGGGTTCTTGTGTTTACAGGGATTTCAAAGGTCCTAAATGGTTCTGGATGTGTTCTTCAATCAAAGGTCCTGACCTGTGTGTGTACGTTTGAGGGGTTTCCTTTGCCCACCATCAGATGGCCTCTGCTGAAGGATCGCACTGAGTACTCAATCATTACCACAGTGTCAAACAAGACGGTGAGCAGCACTGTTTCCCTGACTGGAGGAAAGCATGGCAACATGACTGTTGAATGTTTCAGCAGCAATGAAATTGGTGAGGCAAAGGAAAACCTCATGATCAGGAACTTGTCAGGAAAAGAAGGTATTATTTTCAAAGCTTTCAGGTCTCTCTTCTAAATGAATCCCCGAGGTTCAATTGGATTAACCTGTCTAAATAAAGGTTGAATGAATGAAAAAGCTGGAGAACTTCCAAAGTTTTTAAACATTGTTTTGGTATGTAAATTGTCTTTTGTCTTCTGTAATAATTTTGGAAACAGTTATGTTCTTTTTCTCTGTTTCTCCTCTTAGCGGTTCAGTCCAAAGCCTCTTCAGTTTCCTGGTTGCAGGTCATTTCTGCATTTTTGATTGGGATTCTCTTTTCAGCTATCTGCTTTTGTTTGGTGCTAAAACGCGACAGGTATTTTATTTTAATTATATTTTCAAAGATCTATCGGTAGATAAGTCAGTGTGTAGATTTTAATCGGTTGATGCTTAGTAATATATTTTTTTTTTTTGTAGGAAACTTCAAAAGCACTCTGAGTCTTTAGATGACAATATGGAGATGACGGTTGAAGATTACTCAGTGGTAACTACATATGTTCATCTAATTAATTTGTTTTATTGCTATTGCCCTAAAAGTACACATACACATGTGTCCTTAGTTATCAAAGGTCTAAAAAATACTAAATTAAAATAAATTTTTAATATATGAAATCTCTTCAAATTAAGTATTTTCTACTTTTTATTAGTTTTTCTTTGATAATTATTAAACAGCACTCTTTTTTGTTGTTGTTCTATTTTAACTACATGTGTTTATGGTTGTTTGGATTTTCAGTCCTAATAAACAAAGAACATGCACATTGCTGACTGAAATAATAAATTAGGCATTATTGAGGTGTTAGTTTAATATGGCGGAAGCTGAGGAAGAAGAAATCTTGTGAAAAGTTCAGAGATGAACTGTTAAAGGCTCTAGTAAGAAAGAGATTCCAGATGACTGAGCTGCAACAGCAGCAGTAATTAGAAAGACAGGTAGGAAGGTACTTGTGTCATTTGGATAAAAAATATGATAATGATGATATATGATCAGGTCTGGAAACTCAGAGGAGCTGAGTAAGACAAGAAAAGAGCTGGTTGCTGGTATTAAGAGGGCCAAGGGCACATATGCAAAGAGGATCGAGGGTCAATTCATCTCACAAGACCCTCGGAGCATGTGGAGGGGCATTAAGTGCATAACAGATTATAAAGGAAGGAGCGAACAATGCCCCAAAGACCCATCTCTGCCTGATGCCCTCAACAAGTTCTATGCACGCTTTGAAGACCCGAACAGACCACCCAGCACCAGACTCACCTCACCACCGGATGAAGAGCATCTCAGCGTGACCTGAGCAGAAGTAAGGAGTACCTTCAGGAGGATTAATCCGCACAAGGCAACTGGCCCAGACAACATCCCCGGAAAAGTGTTGAAGGAATGTGCTGATCAGCTCTGTGAGGTGCTGGCAGACATCTTTAACACCTCACTTACCCTGGAGACAGTTCCCACCTGCCTGAAGACTGCCACCATCATCCCAGTCCCAAAAAGCTCTACAGTGACTGGTCTGAATGACTATCGGCCAGTGGCCCTCACCCCGATAGTCGCTAAATGCTTTGAAAAACTGGTCATGACTCGCATCAAAACAACCATCAACATCAACGAGGACCCTCATCAGTATGCATACCGTGAGAACCGATCAACAGAGGATGCAATCTCCTCTGTGGTCCACACTGCGCTCAACCACCTGGAGCAGAAAAACTCTTACGTCCGTATGCTCTTTGTGGACTTCACATCCGCCTTCAACACCATGATCCCCCAAACCCTGATGGACAAACTATCCACACTAGGACTAAGCCCCTCCATTTGCAACTGGGTACTAGACTTTTTAACAAACAGACCACAGTTAGTGAGGATCCACAACCTCTCCTCCTCCACCATAACCCTCAGCACTGGCTCTCCTCAGGGATGTGTGTTGAGCCCCCTCCTGTTTACTCTGCTCACGTATGATTGTGCAGCTACCCATCCAGGCTGTCACATTGTAAAGTTTGCAGATGATACAGCGGTGGTGGGATGCATCACAAACAATGATGAGTCCAGCTACAGGCAAGAGGTGGAACACCTGGAGAGCTGGTGCAGAGAGAATAACCTTCACATCAATGTGAAGAAGACAAAGGAGATGATTGTGGACTTCAGAAGGAACAAAAACATCTACACCCCCCAGAACATAAGAGGATCTGCGGTGGAAGTGGTCTCCAGCTACAAGTACTTGGGTGTACACATGAATGACAACCTCAGCTGGAGCAACAACAACACCAGCCTGATCAAGAAAGCTCATCAGAGACTCTACTTCCTCAGACGGCTGAGGCGAGCTGGTCTGGGAAGCTCAGTCCTCACTTCCTTCTACAGGTGTGCAGTGGAGAGCATCCTGTGCTCCAGCATCAACGTGTGGCACGGAGGCTGCACAGCTGCAGAAAGAAAAGCTTTGCAGAGAGTGGTGAAGGCTGCACAGAAATCTGTCGGAATCAGCCTCCCCACCATCACAGACATCTACACCTCCAGATGCAGAAAGAGGGCCACCTGCATCATGAAGGACCCCACTCACCCAGCACACACACTTTTTGCCCCACTCCCCTCAGGAAGGAGGTTGAGGAGCATTAAGTGTAGAACCACTAGACTGAGGAACAGCTTCTACCCTGAGGCTGTTAGACTCATGAATCTCTAACCAGAATAATCACTGTGAAAAACCATATCATGTTGCTGCTGATCTGTTTCATGTTGCTGCTGATCTGTTTCAATGTTGATGTGTTCATGCGTGCACATCTGCTCACAGACTCATGTTCATGTTTGTGCTGATGTTCAATGTTTTATGTTATGAGTGCTTAGTGTATATTTAGTTGATGTTTTTCTTAGTTCATATCTTAGATGTTATTACTGTTTTTCTTATACATTTTATTGTTGGATGTAACTGGGACCTTGTGTACATAATTTCGCTCCACCACATGTACCACATGAGGTGCGAATGACAATAAAGAAACTCTGACTCTGACTCTGATAAGGAAACCTGGTGGTGGACTAGTGAAGTGCAGGAAGATATTCAAAGAAAGACATTAGTGACAGAACAATGTGGTTTTAGAAGTTGAAGCTAATGGTGCAGGCAGACTACAGAGAACTCAGGAGGTCAAAATAAATACTATTAATTTTTTAATAACAATAAGCTGACGTGGCAGCAAAACATTCGCTTAGGAGACACTTAGGAAATCACAGGGAGCAGAGCTTGACATCTACACCAGACAATGATCAGCTGACAAGAAACAGGAGCGCCGACTTAAATACAGAAATAATAATGAAACAAGTGCCAACACCTACGATGGGTCACAGGTGCAGGGAGACAGGGAGTGATTATAAAAAGGAGAGCCGGACAGAAAAACACCACAAGATGGCATGATCCTCACAGTTAGCCCAGAAGAAATATGACAGTGAGAGGACTGAAGAGAGGAGACAAGAATATAAAGAGATGAAATGTAGAGCAAAGGGGAGGTGGCAAATGCAAAGCATTAGGTGTATGATGAGTCTGATGACGATGATGTCTAAACTGAAGCCCATATTGTCCAAAAAGAACCTGGAGACAGTAATACATGCATTCATTACATCTAGGCTTGACTACTGCAATTCGCTCCTGTTTGGTATCAGTCAGACCTCCATTGCACGACTACAACTGGTCCAGAATGCAGCAGCCCGATTTTTAACCAGTACAGGCAAAAGAGAGCACATTACGCCAGTTTTGGCCTCACTGCACTGGTTACCGGTTCACTTTCAAATCCATTTCAAAATACTCATGTATGTCTACAAATCACTGAACAGTGTCGCCCCCCCCCATCTCTCTGATCTGCTACAACCGTATGTCCCACCACGCTCCCTGAGGTCAGCGGACCAGTTGCTCCTCACAGTTCCAGAAACTCGTCTTAAGCGCAGAGGTGACAGGGCCTTCTCTGTAACAGGACCAAGACTCTGGAACGAGTTATCTCTGCTTATCAGACATGCCCCCTCCCTCTCGGTTTTCAAGTCCTGTTTAAAAACTCACTACTATTCAATAGCTTTCAACACAAGATGATCTGTGTTTTGATCCTGTATGCTCTACACTGGTTTGTCGTCATTATCTGCATCGTTTTATGTCTATATTCTGATTTACCTCATTTTGTATTTTGCTTTGTGTGTTACCTGTTGTTTTGTCTGTACAGCACTTTGGTTAGCCTTGTTGCTGTTTTAAGCGCTTTATAAATAAAGTAGTATGGTATTGTATTTTATGGGAGGCTGGGCACTAAAGAGGACAAGAAGGACCAGAGACCATGATGGAAAGATGGAAAGCGTATTTTGAGAAACTAATGAATGAAGAGAATGGAAAGGAAAAAAAGAGTAGAGGTCATAGCAACTGTGAACTAGGAAGCGAGAAAGATTAGTGAGTGTGAAGTTTGGAATGCTCTGAAAAGAATGAAGAAGGGGAAATCATAGGACCTGATGACATACCAGTGGAGGTTTGGAAATGTCTAGGAGAGATGACAGTGAGGTTTTTGACTCAAATATCCAATGGCATATTCTAATGGGTGAGGAAATGCCTGGGAATGGAGAAGAAGTGTACTGGTGCCCATTTTTAAAAACAAGGGTGATGTACAGGGTTGAAGTAACTACAGGGGAATTAAGTCGCACTAATGAATTATATAGTGAATATATGGGAGAGGGTTGTGGAAGCAAAACTTAGATGAGAGGTGACAGTGAGCAGCAGTATGGTTTCCTGCCAAGAAGGAGCACCACAGATGCCATCTTTGCTTTGAGGATGCTGATGGAAAAGTACAGAGAGGGTCAGAAATAACTCCATGGTGTCTTTGTGGATTTAGAAAAAACATATGACAGGGTGCCAAGAGAGGAGGTGTGGTATTGCATGAGGACATCTAGAATGGCAGAGAAGTATGTTAGACTGGTATAGGACATGTATGAGGACAGCAGTTGAAAGAAGAGGAATGAAAGTCGGTAAGACAGAGTACATGTATGAATGAGAGGGAGGCCAGTGGAACAGTGAGGCTACAAGAAGCAGAGGTCACAAAGGTGCAGGACTTCAAGTACTTGAGGTCCATTGTCCAGGAAACTGTAGAGTGTGGTAAAGAGGTGAAGAAGAGAGTCCAGGCAGGATGGAGTGTATAGAGAAAAGTTTCAAGAATGATTTGTGACAAAAAGCTGTCGGCAAAAGTCAAAGGAAAAGTTCACAAGACAGTTGTGAGATCAGCTATGTTGTATGGTCTGGAGACAGAGACAAAAAGACAGGAGAAAGAACTGGAAGTAGCGGAAATACAGATGTTGAGGTTCTCCTTAGGAGTGACAAGGATGGATAAGATCAGGAATGAGATCATAAGAGTTACAGCACAGGTTGAACAACTGGGAGATAAAGTTAGAGAGGCCAGACTGAGATGGTTTGGACATGTCCAGAGAAGGAACAATGGGTATACTAGTAGGATGTTAGAAATGCAGCTGCCAGGAAAAAGACAAAGAGGAGATATAGATATGGAGGTAGTTGGAGTGAGGACAGAGGATGCAGAGGACAGAGATGGAGGAGGATGACTCGATGTGGAGACACCTGAAGAGGGAAAAGTTGAAAGAAGAAGAACGAGTTTTTACTTTAAAATAAAATCTAATTTTTATTTCAGATTTAGTCCTTTATGTTGCTTCATAGTTATTTATTTTAAAGGAATTCTTTGTTGGGTTTATGCTATTAAAATAACTGTGCAAAATATTTAAGATTAGATTGTTAAGATATGAAAACCTTTTAAGCTCTAGACACATACAAACAAAAAGACCAAGTTTTACAAATCTAAACTCAATAAATTTAAGAAAAGTTCACTTATTATGAAGTTATTCCTTTATCATTTTTTACATGTATTTTTATTAACTGGACTCATGAAATAAGGTTTCAGAGACATGTTCATCATATTCATCAGTATCATCCACCCAAAATTTAGGAGTTACAGATTTATGTAAAGTTCTCTCACGATGTTTTACATTCCATTTACTAAAATGCCGTATTTGCAGTTTTTTACACTTGATTTGGAATATTATACAAAATTAATATGATATGAGTATGGTTGGTTTAATATTGCCTAAATTAGATTTAAAAATCTTACAAGCACCATTACACAGGAAAAATGTTTTAAATATAATATGTTCAGTATTATATCTGTTCTGAGTCATGTCTTTTGCTTTATACTTGACAGATCCATGTGAGTCAAGCAGTACAAGATGGTCAGTCCAAATTTGAAGAAGGTGCTATGAATGGAGATCCAGCTGAGCACAACAATGGTTCAAAAGACTTGATATATGCCAGCCTTGATTATTCCCTGTTGAACAGAAGGCCTGGAGTGGCAACAATGAGAAGAGAGAACACAGATACAGAATATGCAGAAGTTAAGGTGAAAGGAACAAGGGAAATTGATTTAGGAGATTTGTTTTCTGAGGTGGATTATGGCACAAAAGACTGTTCAAAAAGTGGAGGAAGACTCTGAGGAGGCAACGTATGCCACTGTGAAGAGCTTAAATGATGAGATCTGAGGACTGGGATGGATTGTACAGATGTCAACAGGATGACATTTTCCTTTGAAAAAAGTGTCCCAAGATTTAGCATTTGCTCCAATTTTCACTGTAATTAATTTAAAATGAATTGCCACCTCTAGTAATGAGGATGGCCCTGTGATGAACTTGGGGCATGTCCTGAGTGTACCTTGCCTCTCCTATAATGACCACTGGATATGGAACCAGCTACCCCAAGACTTGGAAAGGAAAAATCATGTAAATAAAATTGGTGGATGGATGGATGAATGGATAGTGGTGAGAAGAAAACCTGCATAGAAATATTCAAATACAGCCTAAACATCTGAACATGTTATACATGAACCATTTTTCAGCCAATACCATTAGCCTATTATAAAACCCTTACCCACTGGCACAGAGGTTAGAGAAGGGGTCTATGATTGGAAGGTCGCTGGTTCAACTCCCCAGACTACCAACATCAAAATGTGGGTGGCAAAGGTGAAACAACCACACCTGCCTTCACCCTCATTTGCTCCACTCTGGACCCTTGAGCAAGGCCCTTAACTCCAACCATCTGCAAACCTGGACACCCTAGATAGCAGCTCTCTGCTCCACACTAAGGGCTGTGGTAGCTCAGTGGTCTGTGGTTGTGTCAGGAAGGGCATCCGGCATAAAACAAAAAACAACTGCCAAGTATTCATGTGACTTAGTTCGCTCTGGCGACCTCTAAAGAAGGGAGCAGCTGAAAGAAAAGAAGAATATATATATATACATATATATATATATATATATATATACACAAACCAGAATACAAAAAAGTTGTGACACTAAACAAATTGTGAATAAAAACTGAATGCAAATGTCAATATTTTTTTCATAATATAACATAGATGACAGATCAAAAGTTTAATCTGAGTAAATGTAACATTTTAAAGGAAAAATATGTTGATTCAAAATTTCACAGTGTCAACAAATACCCCAAAAGTTGGGACAAGTAGTAATAAGTGGCTGGAAATAGGAAATTGAGCTCATAATGAACAGCTGGAAGACCAATTAACACTAATTAGGTCAATTGACAACATGATTGGGTATAAAAAGAGCTTCTCAGAGTGTCAGTGTCTCTCAGAAGCCAAGATGGTAAGAGAATCACCAATTCCACCATTGTTGCGCAGAAAGATAGTGCAGCAATACCAGAATGGTGTTACCCAGCATAAAATAGCAAAGACTTTTAAGTTATCATCATCAACAGTGCATAACATCATCAAAAGATTCAGAGAATCTGGAACAATCGCTGTGCATAAGGGTCAAGGCCATAAAACTCTACTGGATGCTTGTGATCTCCGGGCCCTTAAACGTCACTGCACCTCAAACAGGAATGCCACTGTCAAGGAAATAACAGAATGGGCTCAGGAATACTTCCAGAAAGCATTGTCAGTGAACACAATCCACCGTGCCATCCGTCGTTGCCAGCTGAAACTCTACAGTGCAAAGAGGAAGCCATTTGTAAGCAAGCTCCACAAACTCAGAAGTTTGCACTGGGCCAGGGGTCATTTAAAATGGAGTGTGGCAAAATGGAAGACTGATCTGTGGTCAGATGAGTCACGATTTGAAGTTCTTTATGGAACACTGGAACGCCATGTCATCCGGACCAGAGAGGACAAGGATAGCCCAAGTTGT